TGCAATACACCATTTCTCCTTCCCCTCGCGGCTATTTCGACACGATGGTGGCGCTCCCTCTCTTGCAGGTTTGAGGTTCTCCTACAAGGGCCGCAGCTTTAGGAATGCACATCTGGTTCATTCGAGGCCTCTGCCTTCTCACATCACTGTTCTGCCGCGCGCCGTTCTTCTCTCCTTCGCGGTACATTCGACGCGATTGGCGGCTCTCTCTCATTCGCAGGCTTGGGCTATCCTACAAAACCCCGGATCGCAGCCCTAGGGTTGCGCATTAACACTACAGGCCCGGTGCACTACCACACCCACCTACGGTTAGACACCCAAGGCCGACTTCGATGGATGCCAGAGGCATTCCATTTTGCCGATTCGAGTCATGCACACAGGTACTAACAGTAGTACCATTTCACCTGAACGGCCAACCTCTCCTACAGGCCAGCCGCACAGAGTCATCTTGCACAGCGAGCTGCCCCTGCCATTCGCACCCGCTTTTGCGATAGCCTCCTTTTGGCCACATCGGCTTAGTACCTAGTGGCACGCCCCCTCCTACAGTTGCAGACATGTGTGCGCAACTTTGGCTGTCCAAAGAAGCCACCTTTCACGTGCACTACATTCTCTGCGTAGGCATCAGCATGCACGCCCACGCCTGGAAGCAGCCTGCGCATCAACTGTTCATTGCTGTTTTGTTCCACTGAAGCCCGTCGCTAATATATATATACATGCTGCTTCCACCAGCGCTCCAGGCCCCACGCTGAGCTGCCATAGGGCGCTCTCTCTCTTGCAGCTCTGGGGTCAACCTACAAAACCCTGGGTCGCAGCTCTCAGGAGTGCGCATTCGCTTCGTCCACGGCCCTCTCCCTACATCACGGTTCTGCCGCTCGCCGTCCTTTTTCCGCCGCGGCTCTGTCGACGCGCATGGCGGCACCCTCCCCCTTCCAGGCCCGGGCGATCCTGCAAAACCCCGGGGTCGCAGCTCTAGGATTGCACGGCATTTTTTCAAGCCAGGCGCAGTACCGCATTTTCCTACGGCTAGACACCCAAGGCTGACTTTGATGGACGCCCGAGGCGCTCCATCCACTCGTTTCGAAATCTAGCGCACAAGCACTAACATCATTTGCATGCGGCCTCCGACCACAGCCAGGCAGCAGCATGTTGGCGACAACGCGCCACTCTTTTGTTGACCCCACAGAGAAACATTGCGTGTATACATTGGAGGCTGCATGCACCGAGCCTCAGAGCACCAGCAGCACAGCAACAGTAGGCTTGATTATTTCGCAGCAGACCTAACAGCACACACACACTCTCTCAGACTTGTGCTGCACCAGATTCCACGTGAGCAATCTGCTCACGTATGAGCTCCAGCAAAACAGCCCGCGCAGAGCGCGCAGCTCACAGCGTTTTGGCAGCACCTAACCACAGCCAGGGCCCTTTTTATCCCAACCGGCCAGCCTTAGACAGGCCAGCCTGCGACACCTATCACAAAACGATCTTGCTGGACAAGTCGGGTTCGTGCTAAACCCGAGAAGAATCGCGCGGAGAGCACGAGGGTTCCAGTATTGATGCGGTTCGGGGCAAGCCCAAAAACCCTGGGCGGCAACCCTAGAACTGCCACAATTGAGTGTCTTCTTTCGACGCTGCATGACAGCTCACGTGACTGCAGAGGTGGCGGTTACATGTTTGAGGGTGGAGGTGGAGGGCCACAGAAGAACAAGCTACCAGCTGTTTTTGCTTACCAGTCCTGCCCTGTTTACTCGGCCAGCCTCTTTTACAGGCCAGCGAATTCCAGACCACATGCGCAGCAATCTCTCCCGCGCGGCCACCACCACTGCTGGAGCGCAATACACCTCCTTTTGGCCGCTTGGGCTGGACAACCTGGTGGCATCTCCCTCCCCTCCACAAGCCGATGTTGCTACCTCCCACGCAATTTCAGACATTGGCCAGCCTAGACCACAGGCCAGTCTACTGGACTGCTCGCACACAGGCATACGCGATACCTTCGGCCGCACATTGCATCTAGTCTTCTCCTCTCTGTAACTCCGCACTCTCATACCTCCAGGCTCTGTTTGGCATCTGACACCGTTTGCCTGCTGAGCACCAGCAGCCACACGCATATACTCTGATCCTTTGTTCCCCATGTATGCTCCATGGTGCCACCAGCTGGCACATACAATGAACAAATGGACGGGGGGGTCATTACAGTAGGGGAGGATGTGCTGGGGAGGTGGATTTACTTCGGTTTGGGGTCCACCTAAACCCTGGGCAGCAACCCCAGAATTGCAATAGTCACGGCGTCGCTCTTTGCATGTGTTAATTGTTTATTGCCATCCGATGAGGCACTACCTATGGAAAAGTTTGGGGATCAGGCTGATCTACTGGGGGCCGTCCCGAGCCCCCCCCACCCCCACCAGTCCCTACAAGTTGCCGTCCCGCTGCGGGGAACGCCCCCCTTGAATGATGAGCGCGCGGGTCTGCCGCTTAGGCGAGACACCTTTTTGACAAGAAAACAACAACAACAACAACAACAACAACAACAACAACAACAACAATTACTAGCACGTGGGGACACACCGTTCTCACCAGTGCCAGGGTTTTCATAGGAGGCGGGCAATACCCCCACTTTGTGGGGGGGCCGGTTCAAGCTTTACCAAATTTCCAAACGACTCTTCGCCACCACCCACACCCAGCTTCCCGCCCTATGACGTTCGGACACTTCACTTCGTGGCATGCGGACGACCGTGGCTACTATTCAGGGCCCCGCGGCCGACGACGACGGCGTGCGCGCGCGAAGAAAAAACGAATGTGTCCCGCATGGTATTATTTGACAGGGATGATGGCCCTGGCAGGTGCGCAACCGTTGTTGCAGAAGTTCGAAAAAGTTGCTCGCAAAAGCCCGTTTGACAGAAATGTTTAAAAAGTGTTGGGTTTCCTACGAATCCGCAAGAGCGCGCGGGATGAAATTTTGACAATTTTTTTTGAAAAACCATTGGTTTTTTGATGTTTTTATGTTAAAATCGCTACGAAAACTAAGGTTTTGGAAGGATTTCGTCTTGCGCGCGCGAATGTCCACTTTACCTTATTTTTTGCAAGGGATTCTTGAAGTTTGGTTATGTTAGAACAAGAAATGTCCACTTTAGCTTATTTGTTGCAAGGGAAAACCGATCGTAACAACACAACCGGATCCGGAATCCCCCGTTTTGCCTGAGACTTCCTAACGAAAATGATGAAAATGAGGTTGCGGCCTAGGCGCGGCGGGGGGGTCGTGCACCAGGGGCCCCAACAATAATTATTCTTAAGAAGAAATTATGTTCAACAACAACAACAACAACAAGAACAACACTAATAATAATAGCAACAACAACAACAGCAGCAACAACAATAACAACAACAACAACAACAACAACTACAGCAGCAGCAGCAGCAACAGCAACAGCAGCAACAGCAACAGCAACAACAACAAGGCTACAACTGAAGGAGGTACGACGGCACACTTCAACGGAGTCTCCAGCGATAGCCTTGCGTTTGCAAAGGAGCTGAACTCCATGCGTGCAAGCTTTACGCAATCCGAAGTTCGTCATCACATTCGCGTAAGTCCAAGGCGAAAACAGCATGTTGAAAAGGATGGGCCTCCATCTGTGCAAGTCTGGCACAAGCTGGAAACTCGAGTCTGAAAACCAGGGGAAAGTCCAAGCGGCAATCCAATTTTGAAAAAGAAGTGGCGTTCATCTGTGTAAGAGTTGGAAACCTTGAGAAACGAATGCGTGCAGCGCTCAGGCGGGAGTCACATATTGGAAGCCATCAGCTTTCCATATTTGCATATGCTGGACATGTTTGACACGACTGAGCGCGGCGCCAAGACGAGAACCAAATATGGAAAACGACCCGCCCTCTAGCATTGTAATTGTTGGAAGCTTGGCTAACGACTTCGAGCGGTGCAAATGCGAGAGCCACATTTGGAAAACCACCGGCACGAAGTCTTTGGAAGTGCTGGAGCCTGTAAACAAATCAGGATGTTAGTTCGCAAGGAATTCTACAGAGACATGCCCGGCCGAATCTACTCCTACGGACACTCCTGGTCGTGCGACAGGAGGGTGTTTTGAAGGAAGAGGGATGGAGGAGGAGCAGCAGCGGGAGCAGGGGAGGAGGAGGAGGAGGAGGAGGAGGAGGAGGAGGAGGAGGAGCAGGAGCAGGAGGAGGAGGGGGAGGAGGAGTGGGAGGCGAGACTTGACCAACAAGAAGGTCTTGCAGGACGAGTGCGGCTCCTGGGCCCGCCCAAGCATCTGGCCCACGCACCCGCGCGCAGCGAGCTGCGCACGGGCACCCTGGGCCGCACGGGCCCTCTGCCTCGACGCGAGGGCCTCGGCTCGGGCCTCGAAGGCTCCCGACCCCCGCCGCTGGGCCTGGGCCCGCTGGGGCCCGAGGGGCCGCAACACCTCCAGGACGGTCGGCCTCTTCGGGCCGTCGGTCGGGGGACCCGCCTGGGCCCCCGCGGAGCCACCGCGGGAGAAATGCCCAGGCCAGAAATCCAGAAAGTCGATGCCAGATTCCGAGGGCGACCTGAGGCTACCGAGAAGCCCTTTCCCGCTCTTGGGGTGCTTCCCACGCACGACACTGCTACGATTGCTCTTGGCACTGGGGATCGGGCCCCCAGAACATGTATCCTGGAGGCCTCTTCCCTTCCTATCATAAATGTGCCCACAGCACGTGGAGCCATACAACAAGAGACCATTCGATCGCGATGCATCGCGGGCATTTTAATCCGCGAAGATCGGCGCCGCAAGCAGTGCGTGCCCGCGCACGCGCCACGGCCGCAGGCCGCCGTCTGCTGCAGCCCGCGGGCCCCCGTCCGAGCCGAGGGGACCTAGCTTCAGGTTTCACGCCGTCGTCCCCGTCCCACTCGTCGGGGCCCTCGGGCCACTCGCCCAAGTCGATCAGCTTGAGCGCGCCAACGCCCATGGAGTCCATCAATCCGCAATGGGAAAAAGTGGACCTCCTGCAGCGCTGCACACTGCGCCGCTTGTCGGGCGATCACCCGGCAGCCCTCCAGGCACTGGATGTCCGCCAGTGGCGCCCTGGCGGCCGCAGCTCCCTCCTTGGCCCGCATGTCCGCCCTGTCCAGCTCGAGCTGGGTGGTCTGCCCGTTCCTCACCGCCGACTGGCCCAGGTGGGCCTTGACCTTGACCACCGTGGCGTCCTGGAGCCTCCCCGCCCTCCCTGCCCAGAGGTGGACCCGTTCGCAGCTGGCGGATGCCGCCGCCTCTGGGCGGCCTGCGCAGCGCACGGTGGCGAGGCAGTCAGTGTAGAGGCGGAAAGGGGCCGCTTGCCACCGCGTCCGTCAGCACCTTCACCGCGTAGTCCTCGCCGTCCCTGGCAAGCTGCTCTGGGCCCTCGCTGAGCGGGACCGCGCCCCAGGCCTCGGCGAGCAGCTTGCGGCTCACGTCGTGCACCACGACGGACCAACCAGCAGCCCGCAGATTGGGGTAGTCCTGGTACGACGCCAGAGCCGTCGACGAAGATGTGCTCCTCGCTGAGGTAGGGCCGGATCTCGAGCCGGCTGGTGGAGCACTGGAAGTAGTCACCTAGGGGCCGCGTCGGCCACTGGAAGAGCTCCGACACGTCGGCGAAGAGCTCCCTGGCGAAGAGCTCCGTGAACGGGTAGCCGAGGCCTTCCACCTCCTCAGCCGCTTGCCTCAGCGGGCTGCCGAGGGACCAGTAGGGGCCCTTCTGCCGGCAGGGAAGGGACGGGAAAGACCCAGGGGAAGGACGGCAGCAGCTGCCTCCTCGGGACCGAGGAGTCGACGGCCCCCGACGCTGGCCTGGCACCAGTGGGCGTTCTGGACCAGGCTGCGCAACGCCCGCTGGTGGTGCAGGCCCCACACCGCCGAGCGGTGGCCCGTGGGGTCCAGAAGCGGCTGCCAGATGGGCGGGGCGCTCGAGCCCCACATGTGGGGACCTTGCCTGGCCACCTCCTCGAGCCCGATCGCCACGCAGCAGCCCAGGGAGACCACGTGGCCGGAAACGGCAGGGGAAAGCCTTCGCACCTCGTACACGCTGCCCTTGGCGTCGTGGAGCCTGCACGGGTCGCCCAGGACGAAGCCCCATTTGATCCTCTCGAGCGTGAGGGCCAGCGCGCTGATGGGCTCCCTTCACCATTCGCCATGGGTGCTGCTTCTGCGCGATGGCCAGACCCCTGGCCAGGCAGGAGCGGGCGGCCGCCTCGGGCAGGCGCGAAGCCCGGACCATCTCCACGAAGGTCATGAGCGCAGTCCTGGTGAGGATGGTCAGCGGGTCGCGCTTCCAGCCACTTGTCGAGGCGAGGCTGGCCAATCCAAGCGCCGCCCCGCGGGGCAAGCGACCGCGCGCCTTGACGGCGCCAACTCGCAGCTGGCGCAAGCGCCCGCTGGGGACCCCCATGATGGCTCAGCCTCACGTAGCTTTGGCTGTCGGCCCCGCGCGGCAGACTCGAGCTCGGTCTAGCCCTGGCCAGAAAGAGCTCGGTGAGCTTCCTCCCCTGGGCCTTGGCCTGCCGTTCTCTGCTGGCCGTCGCGGTCACCCTGCAGGAAGGGCCCCGAGACGGCGTCGCCTCCGAGGTCCCTGCGCACGTCCACGAAGTCCTCCATCTCCAGGTCCCAACCAGGTTGGCGCTTGAGCGCCTCTCGTAGTGCCTTGCTGGTCGCAAAGGCCTTGGTCTTGCGCCTGATCAGCGGCAGGTGGGCCTCCTTCACCTTGGCGCAGAAAGCCTGGTGGGTGTCCCCCAGCTGCTGCGCCACCATGGTGAGCGGCCCCGTCACGCGCGCAGAGACGTCGTCCACCACGTCGAGTAACCGGCGATGGGGGCGGCCATCGCCGCGGCTCGCAGGGCAGAGAGCAGGAGGAGCTCAGCTAAGGCCGCGGCGCACGAGCATCCAGCAACCACCGTACCGTTGGCAGTGATGGGCCCGCTCAGACAGGTGCCGATGCGAGCCCGCCTCGGGGCCAAAAACGCACAGCACAGGGCCCTCAGCAGGCCCATGTCAAAGCCTCAGGCCAGCGCCGCCTCCCGCAGCTCGGCACGTGCGATGTGCCCGTAGCATGTGCGTAGTGATAGATCGGCGTAGAAGGAGGCAGCTTCCTCCTTGGCGTTCCTGGCGCGGGCCACGCACGCGCTGTGAAGCCAGGCCGCCTTGTCGCAGCCCCGGGCCGAGGACTTGCCCCAGGTGGCCGACTGGTCGATGGAGCGCCATTCTGGCAGGTGCGCAGCATGAGCCCGATTGGCCGCTGCCCGCCGTCTGGGTTGGGCGGGAAGGCCATGGCGATGGCCCGGGGCTCGCCACCGCGTGAGTTGCGCCCCCGCGCGTTCAGCAGGCTGGACATCGCCCCGCCCCAGCCCCGTGCGCATAGAAAACTCGCGCGAGGCCGGCGCGATGGCGCCCACGGTGATGGGCAGCAGAGTCCAGCCGCCGATCTGCCAGGACGTCGGGCGCTCCTGCTCGCCACGGCAGGGGGTCCGCACACGGCGGGGGCCAGTCTGCCAGCGCCCTTCCCAGCGCTGGCTGGCCAACCAGCGCCAGGTCGGTCGCCCCAGCTTCGAGGATGGGGACAGGTTCTCCGCGGGCCTTCTTGGAGACCTCGTGGGCGATGGAACCCTGGCGCTCGAAGGCCTCGTCTGTGAACTCCTCGTATTACATATTGCTGACATTGGCGCCTGCAGTTGCCCGCGATCTGCTCGATCATGGCCAGCAGATGATAGCCCGCGTCTGATTGGTGGGCGATCTCGTCCCAGAAGCTGCCGAAGATCGCGTCGTCGAACATGGTGATGCCCTGGGCCTGGAAGTCCGAGACCAGCCTCAGCGCCGCCTCGTGGAGCACCTGCCCTCGCCTGGTCTGGCAGCTGCCCGGCTGGCCCCCAGGGCCAGGGCCCCGCCTGCGCCTGGCAAGGCGGCGCAGCGGCAGCCAGAGCTGCGCGGCAGGCGAAGCTCTGCCCATGCGGTCCGCCTGGGCCCTAACCCCCGGCGGAGCGACGATCGCCCTGAGCCCTTGGCCTTGCCCTTGAAGTCGCGGGCCTCGCTGTCGGGCATGCCGCGAAGCTCCTGCAGTGACTCATCGACCTGACAGAACCAGCTCTTGGCCTGCCCCTCGGGGGCTGCGTCGGGCAGGGGCTGCGTCGGGCGGGTCGGCGACGAACTCAAGCCCGAAGCACTTCGGCACCCGCTGGGTCCGGACCGCGGGCCGCTGACAGCAGCCTCGCAGCGCGAGCGTGACCGCCGCGTGGGGGCCGTTGGGCGCGTCCGCGCGGGCTGCGATGGAGTCGACCATGTGCTCCGGCGCCGCGGAGATGACGAAGCAGTCGTACTCGTTGCGGTCGCAGTTGGCCGTGCCTGGCGCGAATACTGCGCCGCCGACCAGCTCTGGCCAGGCCGAGTCGGCGAGCTCGGTGGCCTTGATGTTCCAGTCGCCGCCGATGACGAAGGGCTCGTCCAGGCAGGCGCAACACTCGCGGAGGTCCTTGAGGAGCTGGAGGTTCGCCCCCTTGAGCCCAACGCCGTCCTCCAGGTAGATGGAGAACATGGCGATGGTGGTGCCAGTTCCTGGGGAGAGCCTGCGGGCGATGACCCTGCGCCGCGCGCCTGTTCACGGCCGATGGTGTCGGGCCGAGCCCAACAGGCGGGAGGAGATGATGCCCACTCCTGATGACACCGCCATGGCCGCCTCCCCCCTCCTGAGAACTCGCGAGCAGGCCAGCTGCTGGCCGCCTCGGTCGGCCCAGCCGTGGCTGCTTGCTCCTCGGCCGTGGAGGTCGAGAAGCGCGTCTCCTGGACCAGCATGATGCGCGGCTCGTGCCGTGTTTTTTTTTGGGGGGGGGCACTCATGGACGCTAGCGGCCGAGCTCCACATGTTGCCGTTGTACGGGCAGATGCGGAGGTCCACGTCTAGTTTGCCACAGGCCAGCACCAAAGGCCCTTGGTTGGGTAGGAGCTTGACGAGCTGCGGCAGATGCCGAGCCGCACCTGGTTGTGCTGATCCATCCGCGATGTTGGCATAGAGGAAGGTGTCCTCCTTGCCAGGCTGTGGTGACACTACGATTGGGAGCGCGCCCGCACTGATTTCCGCGCCCCCATTGGCCACAACGGGCTCATGAGACTGGCTGCCCCGCACAAGCGCCGCGACGTCGGGCACCGTAACCGCAGCATGCTCCGAAGAACTTTAGATCGTCGGGGTCCTGGCCGAGGTCCGCGAACGGGTAGCCCTCCTCCTCGTCCAGGCCGCAGCGCTCATTGGCCCCGACTGCGGCGCTCTGCCCCCTCAGGGCGTCTTCTGCCGCGCCAAGGACCGAGCGCCCCAGCAGCGGCGCCACCGCGTGGAGCACCTGCAACGCTCGCAGAAGGGGTGGTGCCCGTGCCGTTGGCCGCCTTGGTTGCGGCCCGCTCGTGGAGCCCCACCTTGGCCGCCTGGGCGGCTGCTGCGGCGAGCTCGGCAACGACCTGCCGGGTGCCCAGCTGCTCCTGCTCGGGCGCAGCTGCAGCGGCGGCCGCCGCTGGGGCCGCGGGCGCGCCCGCCGGAGCCGCAGGCTGCTCCGATGGGCCTGCTCCACCGCGGGGTTCGCCTCCCAGTGGCGCGTCCTCGTCAGCCGCCCCAGGCGCGGGCTCGTGCTCGCCGCCCTCCTGGCTGGCGACCTCGCGCTTCCTGGCTGCCTTGGCCTCCGCCACCTGCTTGGCCATGCGGCCCAGCTGGGCGCTACAGGTGGCCGAGCTTTCTGCAGCGATATGCTTCCCAGTGCGGACCATCTCGCGGAAACTGTCCTGGGCCTCCTTCTCCAGATTCTCGAGGCCGCCAGGGAGGCTGAAACCGAAGAGGACCATAATGTCCGTGACGTCCTGCTTGATGCCCGCCGCCTTGCTGCGCCGGTGGGGCGCAGCCTCCTCCTCCTCGGCCTGGGCTTCAGCCTGGGCCAGCGCCTTCTCGCCCCGCCGTGCCTTGGCCTCCTCGGGCGCTTGCTCACAGTCGGCGACGGCCCAGGCGGCGGAGTCCAGCACCACGGCGGCGTGCTGTCGACGGCCCCCCGCCGACAGGAGCCCCTGCGCCGTGGGGCGCGGCGCGCGGGGAAGCGGCTGGGCCTCGCACCTGCCGCCTCGGCTGCCACGCGCGAGGCCCCCGCCACCTTTGGAGCCTGCGCGGCAAGGAGCGCGTCCAGTTCGCCGGGGCCTGGGGCAGGCCCCCGCGCCCAAAGGGCCTTGCGGAAGCTCGGCTGGTCCTGGCCAGCGCTTGCTGCAACAGCGCCACTAATTCCCTTGCCGTCCTTGTCGCCCGTGCCCTTGCCCTTGCCCACCTTCTCCTCGCCACCTTTGCGTCCGGGCTTGCCAGCATCACCAGCGCCGTTGGCCCAGGCGCCGCGCGGCGAAGGGGTGGGCGAGGTGCCGACGGAGAGCGCCATGCCGCAGTGGTAGCAGCTCTCGTGCTTGCGGAAGGTTCAGCGATAGCGGCAGGCCGTGCACACGACGAAACCAGCCGCCTTCGCCATCGGTGCTGCGCTCGGGACGGCAGGAACGGGAAACACCTCCGTTTATCCACCGACCCCAGCGCATGGTGCGAGATAGAAAGGCGCTGCTAGACTTTATGATGTCTTGCCTGTCGCGGACTAGTGGTATTTACTTTTTCCCCTGAGGAAAACATCAAGGTGAGCCACAATGGCTACGGAGGAGGAGGAGGAGGGGGAGCAGCAGAAGAAGAAGAAGAAAATGAGGGGGACCGCCGATGTCTCAGCCGCCCTTCCCTTGCCCCCACAGCTGCACTGCGACCGCCGCTCCAGGTGCAGGGACGCGCATGCGCGGTGCTCTGCGGGACGGAGAAAGGAGGGAGGGGCATGAAATAAAAGGCGCGGCCACCAGGGCAAGCGCAAGACGTGGGAGGTCGTCGGCGGCGCGGACACCGGGGGCGGCCGCAGCCGCGGGGAGGGGGTAGCGGAGGCCAGGGGAGGACACTCGGGAGCAGGAGAACGGTGGGGACGAGGAGCGAGGAGGAAGCGGAGGAGGAGGAAAACGAGAGCAATAACAAAAAGAGGAGGAGGAGGAGGAGGTAGAAAGAGGGGGAGACAGAGGAGGAGAAGAGGGTGGGTGGAGGAGGAGAAGAACGAGCAGGAGGAGGAAGCGGGGAGAGGAGGAAGAGGGGAGAGGAGGAGGAGGAGGAGGAGGAGGAGGAGGAGGACGAGGAGGAGGAGGAGGAGGAGGGATGGAGGAAGGAGGGGGGATAGAAGGTGGGGCGGGAAGAGGGGGGATGGGAGATGGTCCTCCTCCACCTCCACCTCATCCTCCTCCGCGCGCGCGGGAGCGTGATCATTTCGACGACGACGCCAACGACGACGACGACGACGACGACGACGACGACGACGACGACGACGACGACGACGG